CACATGATTCAACAAGTGCCCTTACACCATCGTCATGTGGGATATTTGTGTAGAGTGAATTAACATCCAATGTTACAAGGAATGCACCTTCTGGAATTTTCACGAATGGTTTGTGTCACACAAGAAGGACTCATGTGTGGGTGGTATGTCGTTGATTAAAGAGTCAATAGAACTGGAAATGGGTTCCGTTAACGTTTTCGTGCATGATATAATGGGTCTCCCAGGGTTTCCCTTTAATGAATCTTAGGCAGGATGTAAAAACGACCAGGCGCCGAATGTACTGTAGTAAGTGCCTTTTGAAGCTTTGAATCAATGGCGCCTTCACATGTGAGATCTTCGCGGTTGCATGACGAGATCTTCGTGGTTGTTTAACGGGAGTAGTGCCTCTATTTATTTTCCTGATATGTTATTCATACTTGGTTCAGGCACCTTTTACGCATGTATGACATCTTTCTTAACTGCATCTATATTGAGATCCAGATGTCGATCTCTGTTGGTGTCTGGGGTCCATCGCCGTCCGATTACCCCATGAAAAAGTGGGTTATCTTTGTGGGATTTATCAAAGAAATATTCCTCCAATCGTAAATTTCGTATGAAGTCCTCTAGGTCTTTTAGAAGTGTGAATTCCTCGTACTTTCCATTGCCTGGGCAGAATGTAAGTTCACGTGATAGTACACTCAGTTCTGGGTTCGCTAAGTTCTTTATCTGAAAGGTTAATAACGTTTGGTTCTTTGGGGTGCGGTGGCAAATCTTTCTGAATGTGAGGTGGCTTGCTATTTTTCATGTAAGCAGCAGTGGGCATGACTTGTGGGGAAAAAGTTGTCCCGCGCGAATTTCTTTCTCTTAAGTTTTTCTAACCTTTTCAAATCTTCCGACGCTACCAACATGCACTTGAAGCGCTTAAGCTTCCCCCACCGATTTTTCTTTAACTTCACAGGTGGACAAGCCGCCAGTGAATTACACCGAAAGCTACAATACTAAAACGGTCATCACACTGTCCACTTGAGGGAAGGGTGGGTGCATGGGAGGTATTGTTGAAAATGATGGCATGGTTCTTTTACGCTCGCCTTACCCTCTTGAGATGTTGTCCCTTCCTAATTCCATTGTTTTTTTTTGCTTCTTCTTTTAAAGTTTCTCCCCTGGCCGTTTTTTTTTTCTTTTTTCTGTCCTCTTCTCTCATGTCTCGAGAAGCTATAGGACACGGAAAATGTGTAAATATTATCATGCTTTGAAAAAGACGGGGCTCTTGTTGAACGTCGGCTGAATAAAAAGTTATGTGAAAGCCCATCTACTTTCATACTTATAACCTTGCGGCAACTGAAATTACTTGCTCGCTGTTTTCACAGTTGCTTTTGCTGTGCTTTTGTGCTGTGCTTTTTCACAGTTGCTTTTGCAGTTTTCACTGTGCTTTTTAGTTGCTTTTGCAGTTGCTTTTGCAGTTGCTTTTGCCAGGCATCTAAAGCGGGCTGAAAACTTCATTTGGAACAGTACTTAGGAAAGTTAAATTAATTTTTATCAGTGGAGTTGGGCAGTTAAGTCAAATGGGAAAATTGAAGTCCTTCATGCGGGAAAACCCATTGCCGTTCTGAGATTTCAGAAAAGTGGCCTCTAGTAATAACAATATATATATATATATATATACACATATGGGGCATGACAAAAGAAAAGCAGTCGACGTGTCCATAAAATTGCTATTGCAATAAAAATATGTCGTGTACAATTAAAAAATATTAATTGCAAGAACTTTTACAACATGTTACAAGTGAAGATGATATTTTTCTTGTTCGAAAAATGTAGATAAATTAAGGATGTTGGAATATTTGTACTTTAAGGTATTTTGCGATTAGTGTTTGCTATTTGATTCACACAGGAATTTTGCTATTCGAACTTCTCATAGACAAATACCATCAACATCAGATTGGCAGTGGCCCCTTCAGATTTTTGTTATGCTTCACCCCATCACAGTTGCATTTCGGCCAAGCTGCCTTTCAGACTCTACTACTGTGTCAGTAGTATGGACTCGAGCAAACTCTGGTTTCAACATATACCGTATTTACTCGCATAATGAACCCACTCTCATAATGAACCCAACCCCCACTTGATACTTGAAGAAAGAAAAAATTTTTTTATGTGTCTGTTATTTTTATTTTTGGGGTGAAAGCCAGTGCTGATCACAATCGAAAAAACCGTATATTGAGCCAATATATCAAGCCAATATATGACAATATAATCACCCAATAAAAGTCAAAACATAGTTTCGCAACCATGCTAAACAGTTGTGCAAGCAGCACGATTGCTGATGGTGTGAATAAAAATTTAAAGTTGCATCTTTTGCAGCACAGCGTCATCTGTCGAACGAATGCAGGAGAAACCTTTTTGCTTATGGCGCCATGCAAGCACAGAGGCTCAAAAACAAAGCAAAAAAAAAGAAAAAGAAAACAAAGTGCATGGCCTTCGAGATGGCGGGCGCGTGAAGTAAACACACGTCATGCGTCCGCAATCTCGGAGGCCATGCAAAGGGCAACTGCGCCGCCATCCATTGCTGCATTTTTGTTGTCAGGTTCGTCGTAGAGAACTTAGTTGGACAATCACTGCGCTGAGCGCATTCGGGCGGTACGTTAACTACACGGCTAGTTTTAAACGTACTTGGTTGAGCATGTGCTGGAGCACTGGAACCGAACGGCTGGACGACACTTAGGCGTCAATCCGTGCGCGGTTGTTACGGGAGAAAACAGGAAGAGCTTTGGGCTGTCAAAAAGATTCATCAGACATTTCGTGGGCCAAAAAAGCAAAACCGCCATGCGAAACTTTCGCTGTTATAATCCCATGACTTCTTTTCTCCCGTGTAATGAATGTTCTCCAAATTGGCATCAACTTTTCTGAAAAAAGGTAGGTTAATTTTGCGAGTAAATACGATAGATGTGGCGCAGTCGGGGGCTCGACTAATGCTCTTTTAAACAAAAAATCTGAGCAGAAAGTCTTAAAAATTGGACACCGTATATTTTTATTATCCAGAACCTCAGATGTTTTTACATATTAACGTCTATGAGGCAATTACTGCTCCACACTCGAAAGGAGCTCACCCTCGTCCTCCACATCAGTTGGGCTTCCACAGAAGTTTAAAGAGGGGGAGAGGCTGAGGAAGTAGCAACTTTGCCTTTCACGTGTAAAGTGTTGTGACTCTGGTTGCACCAAGCCATGTACATACATACAATCGGCCTCTGCATTGCCTTATTCTTAATGAGACAAATATGAGGCACTGCCCCGCTAGCGTTTCATCAACCTAACCAAGAGAAATGCTTTTATCTAATAAGAATATGCGTCGAAATCCTCTCCAACTTCTTTTTCTGCAATTTTGCTTCGAAGTATTAAAAAAATATACAAGAAATATGTAAGAAATATTTGAAGAATATTTGATTTAATTTGTACTTGCACTTAAATATCCTAATACGCTTCACACCGAAAATATTGCTATTCGCTCAGCTCTAGAATGAACTACACCTACGTGGAATCAGCATGCACCATGGTCATGCTGTTTTTTTTTTTAATTTCTGGGAAAGGTTACATTTCATTTTACAGGCCAGTCTAAAATTTGATACTCCGTCACAAAAAAGTAAGAAAATCTACTGTCTAAAATTGACACAAAGTAAAGGCGAAAATGTTTTTCAATAAACACGCTAAGTTTCAAAAAGAAATATGAAATAGTTCTTTAGATATAAAGCTGAAACTAGGACGACCAATTTACCTTACCATACTTCCTTAATAGTGAAATTCTAAGCCGTGTACAGTGCTTCAACGTTTTGCTCACGTGTCCTCAGGAGCCTCGACTATTGATTGCAGCGTTTTCTGAGGATGCAGAAAAGGTGTTGCAGAGCCCCTCCTTTAAGATCACTTAGAAATGTATTGCATCATACCTTGAATAGCATATTAATCATCAACACATTTGGTATCATTAACAAAAGAATAACTTGCAGCATATAGTGAAATACCGCTGCCTATTTTTGCAGACTTTCGTCAGATTCCATCTGTTTGTGGGAACCAGGCACCGTGGTTGGCTGCTGTATGCCCACTTGGAACCACGTTCATCAGCTCTTTATATTAATACGACACTATAAGCCTGGTTCGTCTTTGAGCCTTGTGTTTCCACTGGAGGTGGACTGACAAGAGTAGTGTTCATGCGAGTGAGCCAGCCGCCTTGAAACAAACAGTGCTGAAAAAAACGTCAGGCCTGCACGATAGGCGCAGCACAGTCACAGCGAAAGCTAGAAGAGTGGCCTTTCAGAGCCTTTTCAAAACACTGATTGGGTAACTACTGCAAGCACACTTGCTTGGTACCCACTAGGGTATTAATAATAAACTTTTGGGTAGTAGGCCAGCATTCGCTATGCTATTTTTCATCATTTTTCTGAGAAGTGTGGTATCCTCTGAACACTTGCAAGGAATTTCAGGCCAATTGTCCATGCAGTGGCTGACATCGATGAGGAATTATGGCGAAAGTCGGTATGTGCCATAGTTCATAGGGCAACAAGAACAAGCTTTCGTTAGGGTTTGAAGCATGGGACGGCCCACTCGTTAAGCTATTCGCATTATGCGATGACTGATTGTTCTTTCGCTACTGTAAAATGCTTTATAAGTCATATTAATGTGATTGCTTTCACGACATCAAGCCTGCCTAAGACAAGTTTGACAACAAGTTACAAGCACAGTCATAACTCAGTGGTAGAATATTGGGCTGGCACCCAGTGGACCCAGGTTCAAGCGCCACTGTGTCATTGGTGGAAGGTTTTTTTTTCTAATTTCGCGCGATGTGGTTACGGACACCGGTGGCGACGGCAGCAGACAACTGCACGTGACCCGAAAAGTGATTTCATAACAGCTTTTGCTGTAAAATTTCGTGTGTGGAGTAGGTCTGAAGATGACTTGTTGGTGCCATTAAGCCCTGTTGGTTGCATAACTGCTAGCGAGACATTAATTCCATCCTGTGTTCTGTCGCATTTCAGGACGACTCGACAAAAGCCTCGTGCATCAATGAGCTTTCAAGTGAACAAGAAGTTAATGTGAGTATTTTGGATGCTCATTTCTTGGTTTTATACCAATGAAACAAGCTCTCCAGCCACTTTTAATCTATACCTTGCTTTTAAAATGAAAAATCTCTGTGCTTCGGGACCCTTTCGGTCCCTTCCTCAGGGCGTGACTGTCCAGCTGGCTCCAAAGCTAGCGACTTTTTTTTAGTGCTGTCCTCCTCTCGAAGCCGATCTTGTTGCTGCGTTGTTTTACCCACTGGTTCCACAGACCACGCACATATACACTCGGTAAGGTTTCAGTTAAGCAGCTAAAGGGACTGTCTACTGCTCAAAAAAAATTTAATTGTGGCACAAATGAAAATATCTTTCATCACATTGGTGGCAATGAGCATGCTTTCGGGCCAGAAAAAGGAATTTACAATTTTAACTTGATGTTGAAAGTGAATAAGAAGTGACCACTAGCGACACCTAACAGTGAATGTTGTCAGTCTTGACAGTCTAATGGTAGAAGAAGACATCCTTGCAGGGAGATTAAGTTTACGTAAAAACAAACATGTATAATTTGAAATAGTATTTTATGCACATCAGGCTGCTTTAGGTTGTGACAGAGTCTTATTTGTGCTTTTTTTTGTCAGGCGTTCAAATAGCTGTTCGGTAGCGCTGCCGGCAGTGTGTTCGCTTGCCTGCATGCCTGCCTGCAAACTGCGGAGAAATGCGAGCACTATTTCCACCGCCACTCATGAGAACAACAACAACAAGAACAAAAAAAAAAGGGTGTGCATGCCTCAAATGACCACTAAGGTATTTGTTTTAATTATAAACAAAACTTGATGAAGCCTGCAAAAAGCACCTGCAGTTTCAGTTTTTTGACATTCACCGGCGTCGACCAGTGTTGTGGGCATTCATCCCACCGATGGAAGGAGACAGAACACGAACAGAAGAATTCTGGTTTAAAAATTTCTACGCGCTCTGCAGAAAACCGCTGCAAGGTTAGACACTTCACATGGTACGCTTTCTGTTGCGACACAGAACGGTAGAGCAATGAAGGATGGTAGACAGTCCCTGTAATATTTTCAGGTGGTGTTTGGATATGCAAGGACTCTTAAGAATGGCCTTTTGGTGTGTCTACCTTCAGTGTCGATGACCAGAACGTTAAAGAGTCTTGGCATATCCAAACACTTGGAAACATTAACTGCCCAAATGGGGCCCTGCTGGTCTGCGGGAACCAGTAGAGAAAACAACACTGCAACAAAAATGGTGTGAAGAACGTGGTGAAGAGGAGGGCACCACTAAAAAAAATTAGCTAGCTTTCGAGGTGGCCGGACAGTCACCCCCTGAGGCCAAGAGACTGAATGGGCCCCGAAGCGTAGGGACAGTTTTTAAATCTATAATTAAAAACTACAGACCAAAAGTGTCAGGAAGGAGACTGTGTCATTCATATAATTTTTACCCAGCCAGACACATCTCTGTCAAATATGTTTACCTTCAAATTTCTTGGTATTGGCTCTCATCAGTGATCAGATGAAGATGGCCAGAGCAAGGGTGCAACAGCAACGTCAATTGCGTTAACGGGATACAATTCCTTATTTTACGCGAAGCTGAGTCGAAACTGGGAAATTCGTTGACATTGCAACATTGTGCGCCGGAATGCCTAGCCAGCCTCACAATTTTCAGTTGCGCCAATATTACCTAGAAATAAAGGCTCCATTGGCCACCTACAGTTTGAGCATTATTTTCAAATCCTGTCCAGCGTCCATATAAGCAGAAAAAGCGTAAGCGGGCTTGTGTTGGGCTAACAAGGCGCAAGTCTGGGCTATAGTTGGTCGTCTAAAAAATGTTTTTTTGCCGAAGATGGTGTTAGGTGCCTGAAACCTTTTTTGTTTTGCTGGTATCAATGCTGCTCTATGTACCATCTCAAAATGACAACGGAAGGTTCGTGTAAAAAAATGTCGATAGCATGACGCTTTTGTAATCATTGGAAGGACTGACTGCCATTTTCCATCCTGTGAACGGTTTATTTTCCTCTGATAATTCTGAATTTCGAGCAAACTTTCCGATTGTGCAGATATAGCCATTAATCTCCCAATATATAACTATAACCCCCCCACCGTGCAGAAAAAAAAAAAGGGCAGTGGTTTGCAACTTTTGTGATGTCGTTCTACTATTGCATGCAGAGCACTGTTGCGATTTCTTATGCCTCTTTTGCTGCAATATACCCGTGCCAAACGAAAAAGCGTGCTAAGATTTGTAATGGGATATAAGTATTAGCTATCACGTGACATAGTACATTTTGTTTATTAATCACTGATGTGTATACGTGCAATATAATTACGAGTACCAGTGTGATCGGTGATGTCCTGTCTACAAAATCATCCAGAGGTGTGCGGGACATTTCCGTGGCCTTCATTTTTTTTTTTTTTGCTACCCCTTCTCGCTACTAGCTGTGACTGAATCCTCCAAATTTTGAGGCCGTTACGTTGGCAGGTTTCAGCGCGTGGCACATTATTTGATTGGCGCTGCAAATGCTAATGTGTACATAGCAGAGGTGAGAAAGCTACGCATATTGTGCATTTTAGATACTTCTTTTATTTTCTTGTGCCAAGCTGCTCCAAAAGTATAAAAATCACAAATTGCGCCGATTTGCTCCAAAATAGCCTCAATTGCAAGAATTTTGATGCCAAACTCGGCTTCAGGGGAAAAAAAAAGCTGAGTTGACCACAGGATTTTGTGAGAAGTGCCTGGAATACAAAGAAATAAGACATGCCTAAGCGTGTTTATTACTTTGCGCCTTTAATTCTGGTTCAAGCATAATTTCCTCGGGACTGTTGCGCCACCCCGAAAAAATGTGCTGCCGTGCATCGAGCGTGCTGCTTCTACTAGCTAGGCTGTGTGTTCTGGTGCCACTGTAGACTAGCGAAAACCACCGAGTAGGCATGTGTAGCGGGGTTGACTCTCAGGTTCTTTGTTGCGCATAACGTTTTATTCCGATCGCTGTGGTTTTCATGTTGGCACTGCTGCGTGCGGTCACCTACGCACGTGCGTTTGCCATGAGTGAGTATACGTTGTTGCATAATAAACATTCTCAAACTGGGTTCCGTGAGTGACAGAACGCATGCGACCCTCTCCCGATTTATCCCACATTGCAAATAATTTATTTAGATGATAGAGTTTTCATTAGATTTTTTAAAAAAGCCTTCGCACTCCGAATCTGCACATGGTGTCTGCACCTAGCGAGAGACCCTCTTGATTGTTTATGAACCCGTGGTGGCAGAAGAAGCTTCCAAATGGGAACCTCGGTGCTTTATTCGTGACTCATGGCGCCTTGGTGATCACGCAGCACAGTTTTCATAAACGGTGATTTGCAATACTGCTCTGTTTTGTAATCTGATCACTGTAACGCCACACAGATCTATGAACACAACCTGTGGAGTAGTATCTGATGCTGATCTGCTCGGCTTGACCAAAGAGGAACTTCTGGAGGGGTGGAAGAGTCAGAATGTGACTAATGTACGAAGGATCATCATTAGAAGAGACAACAAGGTAACACCAACAAAACACCATATACTCACGTTCGCTTCCAGTAATCTGCCAGAAAGTATTCAAACAGGGTACATGAAAACGTCGATCAGGCCATACATACCTAACCCACGTTGTTGTTTTAAATGATTAGGTATGGCCACGGCTCACAAAGCTGTCGTGGTCACCAAACTTTTGCACAATGTGGAGTGTCAGGCCACAATTCTGACAATTGTTAAGAACCATCACACTGTGTGAACTGTGGCGGAAATCATGCCGCATACTCACGGTCTTGTTCATTTTGGAAAAAAGAAAAAGAAATCATCACATTGAAAATTGAAGAGAATATCACATTCAAAGAAGCAAGACAAAGAGTGTCGCCATTTTACGGCGCTACATATGCTGATACGGCGCGTCAGGGGGCAACGCCGCACCAGCCCTCGCCACTCCTTCCTCCAGCGCAGAGCGAGCCGTCGGCTGTGGCGCCTGCCCCCAAGGCGGCAGTAGTTCAGTCTACTCCGCCTCCTAGCGAATTCAGGCTGGAGACTCCAGGGTCCTCTGGTCTGAAGGCCTCCCCTCACCAGGCGAGGCTTAAAATCCGAACCACCAGCTCGCATGTGCGGGCACCCAGTGCCTCTGAGGAGGCAATGGATACAACGATACCCTTGGTACCAAAAGTGCGGCGCGGCTCCTTGGAGCGCGCCAAGAAAAATAAAAAACCAATAACTGGGCCGGACGACCGTTATGCCACCTGAATTAACGAGCTCACTCTAACACAGGATACTCTTTGTACACACAGCAGCACCTCTTGTTTAAATAGGCAGACAGAAATATTACAGTGGAACATCCGAGGCCTTCTTCGAAACCTCGATGACTTACAAGAACTCCTCCATGAACACAATCCTAGAGTGCTGTGTGTACAAGAGACACACTTAAAACGAACAAACACAAACTTTTTACGTAACTACGTAATCTTCCGAAAGGATAGAGATGATGACATGCCACCATCCGGTGGTGTAGCGGTTATAGTTAGTCAAGGTATAGCATGTACACAATTACCCCTTCAAACTTCCCTTGAGGTGGTGGCTGTCCGAGCAGTTATTCTAAACAAACTCGTCACTGTCTGCTCTTTGTACATACCTCCGCACCACCGTCTTGAAAAACTTCAATTCCAGTCTTTAATAGACGAACTACCTGAACCTTATCTGGTCCTTGGGGGCCTGAACGCACATAATGGTCTGTGGGTTGACTCTCGCTGTGATGCACGAGGTCGTCTCATTGAACAATTCCTCATTTCATCAGGTGCTTGTCTGTTGAATAGGAAAGAGGCAACATACTATAACCTTGCCAACAAAACTTACTCTTCCATAGACCTCAGTATCGCATTTCCTTCACTTGTACCATTACTTCAGTGGAAAGTCATAAATAATCCATACGGAAGTGACCATTTTCCTTTAGTTTTGAGTACACCAATAATATATGAATGTCCTCCACATGTTCCCAAATGGCTGGTAAAC